TCAGAGACAAGGGGCCGACGGGCTTGCCACCGTGCGGTAGTGGTGGCAATGCCGAGCATGGATATGCAGTGGCCATAAATGACAGAGCAACCATGGAGGACGCCATCGCCATCCAGGAGAATGTCGCCGGACACACGTGCCTTGCCGTCTTCGATGGGCATGGTGGTGACACAGCAGCCAGACTGGCACAGACTCACTTGCCAAAGCTTCTAGGCCAGCACCTTCAGAAGACCACCAATAAGGAACAGGCCGCCATTGATGCCTTCCATGCAGTGGAAGAGCTCATGCACCAGGAATTGGCCGGCGAGGCCAGTATGTTGCCTTCCGGAACATCTTCAGGCACAGTCGCATGTGTCGCACTTTTCCAAGACAAGGAGGTTACATTGGTGAATTTGGGAGACTGCCGTGCGGTGGTCTGTGAGTCCTCGAAGCTAGCCACCAAGACCAAGGACCGCTCACCGGAAAAAAACGAGCAGGAGAAGCAGAGGCTGAAAGACAGTGGCGTGAGTGTGGAGTTTGGCTACGTGGATGGAAAAGTGCAGGTCTCCCGGGCCTTCGGGGACATCACGGGCAAGACAGGAGACAAGATCCGGGGCCTCATGTGCACCCCCGAGGTCACGATCATCAATGTCAAGGAGACCACGGAGTTTTTGATCCTGGCAACAGATGGGATCTGGGATGGCATCCAAGATCAGACGGCGATCACCACGGCCAGGAAAGTGCTTCGGGAGACACGGTCTCCAGAAGCGGCAGCGAAAGCAGTGGTCGAAGCTGCCGGCAAGGTAACCAAGGCAGACAACGCTGCCGTGATAGTATTAGCGCTCAACGTCCCAGAGCCGCCCCCTAAAAGGGATGCGGCCCAGAGCCGCTTCCAGCGGAGCTCCAAGACGGAGTGAAGCTATTGATTCATTTTGCAAGTGCATGTCGTGGATGCCTCGCCGTTTTATTCCGGCTGTTCCAGGAGGCGCCACTCGGTTACATTTGAAGCAATTTGAAGAAAAGTGCTGCTTTCTAGGAATCTCCGCGAACGCAGACGCGGGTTTCTGACGTCAGCAATCTTTTTGCCGAATATTGCACCACGATCTATGAAGTTATACGTTACAAATCTTTAGTATTATAGTATCATAGTATCATGGCCTAAACCGAGGTCGTTGGCCCTGTAAGTCTGCTTCGACTGCCTCTGCTGGCGCAGCTCATGTGGGCCGTGGCCACGCCTGGATGCCCAGCTGTAGGAGTGTTTCCGATTCATGGCGATGTGTCCAACTGTATCCGTTGATGCACAGTGTTAGTGTGCGCATGTGCACACATGCAGCATGCATGCATGCATGAAGGGAGTATACGGCTACATGGATGTAACCTAAACCCCTAAACCCTCAAGCTGTATACCTGAGACACCCCTTTGGGGCCCTTTTCCCAGGCGCCGCCTTCGGAGACTGCTTCGACTGCCCGCGGCCGGGAGGCTCAAAGCGAGGCTGTGAGGGTTTTGAGGATGATACTGTTTAAGGCTTAGGGTGTTGGTTTAGGGTTCAGGGTGTGGGGCTGACATCGGGGTTTTGGGGGGGCAGGGAGAGGGTATAGTAGAGGTTATGTTTGAGGTCGGGATCTTGGGTGTTTGGGGAACCAGCATCCCTCATCCATTTCTTCATTCGGGGCCCGCCTGCTGCTGGGTGTTCTGCATGGGGATTCTTATAGAGGGCACCGTCAGACACCCTAAACCGTAAACTCCTAAACGCCCCAACCCTAACCCTACACCCAGCTTGAGTGCTTGAGCTGTGCAGTGACTGGAGCAGAGGACTTCTTACACTTCACGGCATAAAGCCGCAGCATCCTGAATTCTTTCATCCCAAACTCTGATGTCACTGCTAATTATATCTTTGTAAAGATACACAAACATCTAGGACACGGGAAAATATGGTGCGACGAGATGTGATGCAATGGGATGTAATGCGGTGCGATGCCATGGGATGCATGTGATATGATGCGATGTTTGTTTGTGTATATATATATATATACACACATACACGTACATGCATGCAAGAATATGGGTATAGTATGTATGTATGCATGCATGCATCCATGCATGCATGGATGGATGTATGTATGCATATACATGTACAGATTTATATAGTTATGTGTATGTATACTCACAGCACACCCCCAGCTTCCTAATTCAAAGCCCCGGATCGTAGAGCCTTACATCCTATGCACCCCGAAACCACAAACCTTCAACGCCACTGGACTCAAACCCTGAGGCCATAGAACCCTATGCAGCCCGAATCCGAAGCGCCACCGGGTTTAGGGGTGAAGGTTATGGTTCGGGTTTAAGGTTAGGGCTTAGGGTTTAAGGTTAGGGTTTAGGGTTTAGGGCTTAAGGTTAGGATTTTGGGTTAAGGGTTCTCAAAACCTAACGCAGGCCTTTATGATAGCCCCACGCGGGAGAGACCCAGGTGGAAACCGAGAAGAGTCAGTTCTTGGCTGCAGCGGCCGAGGTGCTTTGCAAGGGCAGATGGATGCAGATTTCGGGGTTCACCTCTTTATAGCTTGTAGTCCAGGACCCTCCTTGTACACTCAACTGGGGGTATGTATGTATGTATACATATATATATATTATATTTATATTTATATTTATATTTTTCGGTCTATTATAGGGAGTAGATGGAGGGTCTAGGGATACAGGGCTTCATGTTGTTTCGAAAACGAGGGCTTCCAAATTTGGGGTTTCATGGGGATTTGAACTTCGTGGCATTCGCATTTAGGACCTTAGGATGTTGGGGCTTAGAAAGGGTGCAGGAGCTTGACAAGGCTTATAATAAGGTTCGAGGTTTTGTGTACTTAAGAGCGGTGTTACAATGTGGCCGCGGAGTGCAGAATTTTGAAGGATACTGTAAGGGCCTTGATAATTAGAATAAGGTTTTGGAAATTACTTACTATAGTTATGGTATGACATACCCCCCCAAACCCTACTCTAAGTGTTAAGACCCCTATAATATGCAGGATTTTGCTGCTTTAAGCGCTGTAGATCCCCAGGCTTTGTGCAATGGTTCTGACAGGCTGGACAGGTATGGACGGATGTCATAAGGTTTACAGGCTTCACGAGTTTTGTGCTAGGGTAGCAGTGGGTGCAGATCCCAAACCAACCGCTTTTCGAAGAGAGACGGAACAGAAAATGTCGGCAAACTTTTTGCAGATTAGCATGTCATGCACCACTTACCTACATTAAGTACAACAAGAGAAGCACTTTGCAAACGCCCGCTTCGCAAGGCAAAGGCCCGAACAGAACCCGATGTCACACAAAAAACCACGCCTCGCAGTGGCAGAGCCTAAAACCCTACCCTAAACCCTTAAACCCTAAGCCCTAAAACCCTAAACCCTTAAACCCTAAACCCTTAAACCCTAAACCCTAAAGCCCTAAACCCTAAGCCCTAAAACCCTAAAACAGATCCAAGGTCCGAATCCCCCACTGCCCCCGTCTCCTGGTCTAGGGGCTTCCGCCGACTTCTCATTTTTTCTACTGTAGGGACCTGAGTAAATAACTACCGACACTACTATTTTGGTCTTTCCGTATTGTAGTTAATTATAGCATAATATACCCTAAAGCCCTATTCTAGCTATTCTAACGATACTATTTTGGTTTTTCCTTATTGCAGTTATAGCATAATATATACCCTAAAGCCCTATTCTACCTACTATTCTAATTATGAAGGCCCTTGCATGCAGTTATAGCATAATATACCCCAAAGCCCTATTCTAGCTATTCTAATTTTTGAAGGCCCTTGCATTAAGCTTTTGTGAAATCGGAAGCAGGACTGCTTGGACACGCCACCCATGGTGCGAGTCTTGGAAGTCTGGGCTTCTTCAGAGTGTGGGCGCAGTGCCCGGGGGGAAGGGGTAGGGGACCTTTATTTTGGGGTATATGATACTGTAATTATATAATAAGGAACTCTATGGGGTGCAGGGTGTTACAATTACTACATGCATGATTCTTAGGGTTCCATACTATAATTACAGTATCATATACCCCTTAGAAGCCTGTTCTACCTATTCAGACCCGAACATTAGGACCATTAGGGTCTCCGCAGAGTCTCGGGAGATCTTGCACAAACGGTTCCTCCAGCAAACCCCGCTCGTTTCTCAAGAGCCTCCGCGCACATCAGTGGATCTTTTCGTTTAGGGCAGTTGAAGGTCCGTTCGGAACATACTTGTACGACAAGTTTCGCCTCCGATGGCCTGAATATGTCGTCGCGACTGGCGCAGCTGAGAGCCCATTCATAGTCGAGTTATAATCATCACCCATAATCATCAAAAACACCCGACATTGTCGGGTGTTTTGATGATTATGGATTTCGAGATTGTCATAGCACCGCTACACTACCAGACACAAGCATGTCACGCTCACTCCGGCCCGAGAGAACGAGCGACATGCCCGAAGCTTGAGCTTCAAAAGCTTACTTACCCAAAGGGTCCTAGGTACTGTTATGGAGCATAATGTAGAAACCCTACATTCTACCATATAGGTACTTAGGACCCTTTGGGTTAACCTGTGCAGCCATTGTACACCCTGGACTGCAGTCGACGTGAACATGACACGCGTCTTGAGTCTTAGAGTCCATGAAAATCCTGTGTAGGCGGCGCAGAGCCTGCATTGGCAAGAATGGTGATTCTCACGGCAGAGCCCCACACACAGACAGACGCAAATCTCAAGCCTGCCCCAAGGCAGCAGATCTCTCGGCTTTGTTGCTCGTGCTGCTCGGCTTTTACTGATCATTTAAAGTCTAAACAAATACTACGCAGGCCTTTGGGACGTTCGATATTCTCCCTTCTTGTGCTAAAACGAACCTTATCTTTCAGGGGCCAACCATGGCCAACCGACATAACAAGTGACAAAACAAATAAAGTTCACCCTTTGGAGTCGTTTGGGCTTTTCGGGGTTTAAGGGTTTCGGGTTTTAGGGTTTAGGGTCAAGGGTTTAGGGTTTTAGGGTTTAGGGTTTAGGGTTTAAGGTTTCGGGCGGGTTGCTTCTTGATGGGTGCTGAGAGTCTTAGAGTGTCTTGCGGAGCTTTTCAAGGCTGGGCTTACGCGATGGACACCTTAGCCCCTGAAGCCCAACCCCAAAGCCATGGCAGAATCCAACTTAAGCACGGAGAGAGGGTTTTGGAGCTTGCAAGGTTTCGGATTGATGGGCTTTAGGGTTTGGGGTGGTAGCGGCTTTTTCATGAGCCCTCTTGGGGCCACTGATGACTTCTCAACCTAAGCACTACTCCGGCTACAAAAGAAGCTTAAATAATTACCAACAACATTCCTGAAATTTTCAATATACCAAGGCCCTTTCATACTACAGAGGAGCCCCAAAGCCCTGTTCTACCTATTTACGTGTTCTTGAGGGTTTGGCTTCCGGCTCTCGGCTGCTGCCCTCTTAGGGCTCTGGGAAGTTCGGGGCTCAAGCTTTTAGCAGCTCGTTGAGGGTTTAGGGTTTAGGCCGGTTTAGGGGTTAAGGCCTAGGGTTTCCATCTAAAGCCTCGAAGCGCCTCATCACTCCACAAAGTTGCCCCCACCGAATCGCACGACCTGTACAAGTATCGGATCAAGTTTCACCCAAGGCTCAAACGAGCAACCGAACACCTTGTATTGCATTTTCCAAACCGTCTCGCCTTCCGGCACCCAGAGAACCCAATACCCCTTTTTTCAGGAATATACCTTAAATTATAGGGGCCTTGTTGTTGTGATTTAAGGTATATTCCTTAATTCAGAGCTTTTGGGTTCTCTGGGTAAGTCCTCCTAAGAGGCTGCTTGTTTGCGTGACCTATGCCGCTCTGGCGCCGTTGATCATCGTCGCCGGGGTGCGGGTCTCGAGGGGGTGGGGTTATAGAGGGCTGGGAGGTAGGGTTTAGAGTTTACC